ATTTATTTTTAGATTTTTAATTTTTATTAATTTAATATTTGATTGTCTAATATTAATATTGCATGTTACTAGATTTGTTTCTGAGAGAGTTGATGTCTGTATACTTTGCAAAAAGCACACAGTATGGAGAAATTTGCCCGAACAGGTTGCCTTGTGATCTCCTTGTAACATAACTAAATTCTTCAATCAGCTCTGTCTTTTGTGGCTGCCCCAGGCCTTCCCCTCTTAATAGGCTTTGAGGTGTCTTTGTGTCACCATGGGTAACTGAATGTGTACAACTGGCCACTTACTTTAAAGGACTGCACTTTGCTTATGTTATGGAGATTTTAATTGAAAATTACAAAATAAATAAAAGTAAATAAATTAAAAAAAAAATGACTGGAGATGCCCACTCCCTGGAAGTGTTCATGGACAGATTGGATGGGGCTTGGGGCAACCTGACCATGAGAAGAGGCTTGGAAGAGATGATCTTTAAGGTCCCTTCCAACCCAAAACATTCTATGATTCTGTGAGAAAAAGATGATGATATTTAAAGGTTCTTTGAAATGCAGATTTACATAAAATGCCTTGGCTCTAAGAGTTATTATTGAATATCAAGTGTTTCTTTGTTTTTGGCATTCCTCTTTTGGGATAATATTCAATAAAAATTCAGATGAAGCAGCGTACAGTTAGTAAAACAATGCAAGTCTTAGCACAGTGGGTGAGAATGCGACTGGAATTCCAGCTGTCACAAAAAATCCCAATGTTTATGGGCTTTTTGGGTGAAACACAAGCTCTAGTTTGCCCTCAGTGTTCTGAGATTGCATCTTGGGATGCCTTGTGTTAACCTGGGGTCCTGAACTTGCCTGTCAGGTGTTTCTGCATTAAAAGCTGGCAATTACTAGTAAGCCTACAGTATACCTTAAATCATTTTATCAAAGATAAATAATGATTGCTTTGTGTTGTCTTTCCTTGATGTAGGTTTTATGCATTCTGAAGCAGGTATTTTTCTTGTGCAGGCCACAGTCACCCTGAAAGTATTCACCCTCCCCAGTGCTCTATGATTTTAACTGAATTTTAAAAGGTGCTAGGTAGGGCACGTGTGCTCTTTCTAACAATAAAAGGAATCTGGAGTGACTAGCTAGCTTAAGTTCCTAACATTGACTGCATTTAATTCTCGCTTTCGTCTCCCACCTCACCCAAACTGCTTCTGATGGAGTGAAAGTTTAAGCATTAAGAAAGCACAGCTCTTAATTTCCACACACCGCAGCTGAAGCTTTGTGTACTAAAATTCAGGAATGTTGTATATCAAGCTTGAGGGCACCTGAACAATGACTTGTGGGTAGATACTTTATCAAATGTCTTACTGCAGAAGTCTAGAAATAAGAAAAATAGCAAATTCTCACTTGAATTTTCAGGAAGATGAATGTGCAGGTTGTACAGATGGAACATTTAAAGGAACTCGATACTTCACTTGTGCTCCAAAGAAAGCTCTTTTTGTTAAACTCAAAAGCTGCAGGCCAGATTCCAGGTTTGCCTCGCTACAGCCCGTTTCCAACCAGATTGAACGCTGCAACTCTCTAGGTACTGAGCTCCTGCTTCTTACTTATCAGCTGGGAACTGACCTGGGTTTTGGTTTCAGTTATTCCTGCAATGTGTTCTTTGCATTGAACACTTGCAATTCTGTACAAGCATTACTTAAATGAGATTAATGAACAAAAGGTCAGTCTGTACAGAACATAACCCTTCTATGGGTTATTTGTTTCATGCTCATGTTCATATATATAAAGAAATTTTGTTAAATTAAGGGATTTTTTTGTTATGCTGTACATTTTTTACTTTAGAAGTTGTAAAGGAATGTTTTTGAAAATGGTATTTGCAACTCCAGCAATATGTGATTGTATTACCAGAAATACAGTCTATAATGTTAAATTATTATTTTTATTTTCTAAATATTAACATAGAAAAACATGTATTTTTATTCTCGAAGTTGGTAGTGAAAAACTTTTTTTTTTTTTTTTTTTTAATAAAACCCAACAGATATTTTGGATTTCTCGGGTCATGTTGTGTTGCCTGGGACAACAGTAAAGAAATAAGTGTCTGATAGTTGTAAAATATTGTGAACAGGGCATTTATAATGAGAACTTCGTTCCTACTGGATAAAATTAATTCAGTGCTGCAGGCTTCCTGAAGTGCTGTAATGTACATTGTCAGTGGAATGTAAGGCCTTGTTCACTCTCTGGAAGACAGTGAGTTTCAGCTATAATAAAATGCTACTCTAGTCCAGAGGAGAAATGCTTACTCTAAGGCAGCAACTTAGCTGTAAAACATTAATAGGAAAATCTCAAGGGGGATAAAATTCGAGGCTTTAAAGCGTCTTTTGAAAAAAAAAATTTCAGCCTTCGGAGGTTACTTAAGCGAAGTGGTAGAAGAAAACACTCCTCCAAAAATGGAAAAAGAAGGTTTAGAGACAATGATTGGAAAGAAGAAAGGTATCCAAGGTCATTACAACTCCTGTTACCTAGACTCCACCTTATTCTGGTAAGTTCACAATTTGTATAGTGCCATCCCATCCTAGAGATGCAGAACCCGTGATTGTTGTAGTAATGACTGTCGATCTGTATTACTGTGCAGCTCACAAAGTTGTGCATGACAGTTTTTGACATCTTACTGTGCTCTTCCAGTCTGAACAAGTTCTGCAGCATTCGCTGCATAACACAAAGTGCTAATCGTGACCACCTGTACTGGCCCTTCTGTATCTGTACTCTTTTTGACTGAGTGAGCCTCGTCTGTAAATAGTTGAAGGATGAAAGAGCACGCAGGCTGGGGGAGGAGGGAGGGAAATAACCTCTTTTAACTAAATCACAGAAATCTGCCTCGGCAACTGGTTTTGTACTTTTTTTGCAGAAAGGATACTGGTTTAGAGTGGGCTTTTACTGTTTAGTACAGCTTTATCGTCCTCTGTTTTTGAGTTTTAGTTCTTTAATTCTTTGTGTGGCTTTGCTTGGTTTGTCTTATGTTGCTCAGGCATCTGAAAGGTTGTGTCTTCCAGAATCAAAACAGTCTTCTTTTTTCCTTTGTAGCCTATTTTCTTTTAGCTCTGTTTTGGACACTGTGTTACTCAGACCTAAAGAAAAGAATGACGTAGAATATTATAGTGAGACTCAAGAGCTGTTGCGGACAGAGATTGTGAATCCTCTGAGAATGTAAGTAAACGCATGAACTGGTCTCTGGTCTAATTCAAATTTTATATTAGATCTTGCTGCATAAGCATTCCTGTTGCAAACCTGAAAGTCTGGCTAGCTGCTGCGGCCAGTCTGTTCAAAATTTTTTTTTTTTTAATATTTTTACTTGTTCTTCGAGGTAAATTTCATCAGTACTAACTGGAAATAGTTACTGCTTGTTTGATGATAAAATATTTTCACTAGTCTCTATTTGGAAATGTGATCAACATAAAGCTATTGTAGAATTTGTACAGGTATGAATACAAATCCACTGATACAATTTTTTGTTCACAGCATTCGTATTTACATGTGTTTAATGCTGCTGTTCTTGACAAGTGTGTAGAGTTTCATAATTTTATAGATTTGGTGGGGCTTTAGAAGCTTCATCAATCTTTACATGTGGTCTGCAAGTGGTCAAAATGCTTTTAATAAAAAGAACTTAAGCTTTGCAATTTCTTAGGCACAATGAATAAAGGAAATGTGACAAAAATCTGCATGAAATGTCTGCTAAGTTTTTTTTAATATGCAAATTATACAATTGTAATTCTGAAATTCTGTGGACTGTCACTGAGCAATTTATCATAATTTTTTTTCTTTTGATTCCTGGAATAAACTGATGGCTTCTGATCACTCGTTCTTGTTAAGGGTGTGTGTACTTTGTCTGGTGTATTCCAGGTTTCTGTGGTAATGCTAGTGGGATACACGCCAAGTAGCTGGAATCCCAAGTGGCTGAAAAGATTGAGAGTCTTGCTTCTCCTGCCTTTCTTCCATGCTTAAAACCTTCTTTGTGCTTTTTGTAAAGTTTTAGAGGAAAAGATTGAATGGTCAGAACTTCAGCTTCTTAGGTCAGCGATGCAGTTCTGTACCTTTTAGTCAAATATTGAATTTTTTTTTTTTTGTTGCAACTCCCACAATGCTGTTGTTACATCATTTTCAGAATGTGACATATTAAGCAGTGCAAATTAGAGTGAAAACAAAAGCAATTGACTGACAAATCAGAAAACAGTTATCCTGGTAAGATAATGTTTAAAAAGAGTTCTTAAAAGTTATGGAAGAACATCAAGCACTGCACTAAATTTATGCTACATTAAAGAAAACTGGAACCAAGATTGAATGTGAGGAGTCAGCACATAGTTTTGAAGGAATACTGTACACAGTTGAAGAAAGATCTGAGAGTCTGTATTTCAGCATTTAATAGGTGTATTTTTCTGCTTCTCTTGACCACAAACTAGCTAATAGCTTATTAAACCCATTTATCTTAGATATGGATATGTATGTGCTACAAAAATAATGAAACTGAGGAAAATACTTGAAAAAGTTGAGGCTGCATCAGGATTCACTTCAGAGGAAAAAGGTAACTGGGGAGGTTTTCCTTTCTTTGAGATTTGTAAGAATCATAATATGAAGGAACTGAAATACTTTGCTATATAAATATACCACAACAGGACACACAAGTATTTCTCTGTAGCAATAACATCTTAACCAGTAATTTGATTGACCATAGGGAGGAAGAAGGTATTTTTTGCTTCCTTGGGTCTGTAAGGAGCCCTAGCTGAATGGTTCCTGCCCTAACAAGTCTTTCACTGACTGGATTTTTTTTTTTTTCCCCGTTGCCTTTCCGTGCCCCTGTAACTTCAGCAGTTAGGGGAGATCTTCAGAAATGAAGACTGTGATAAGGCTGGGATCTTTGTTCTCTTTCAAAGTGTCGCTTTAGTCCCTAAGGAGTAATCTTTCCACATTTCATTGCCATAATGGTTATGTAGTATTTTAAGAAACAAGTTGTGTCAATTATATTAGAAAAATCAATTCCTAACTTTTTAATCTTCTGCTGCCTATAATGTTTAATTAGCATTGTATTACGTAGCTGTTTTGATTTTATTTGGGAGAACACTACCTTCTTTCTAAGTGCTACATGCTGAAAACCAGTATTTACTGCAGTTAGTGGCAGGAAGAGAAATACACCTGAAAATGCTCCTTCTTTATTTTCAGGGGGAGAATAAGACCTCTGGGAAGCAAGCGTTGGCTTCATTCTTGATTAGAGAACTCAGTCTCTGGTTTAGATGAACTTTGTACTACTGTGTGGTTTTGATGTGTTACTGTCACTGTTCCTCACGGCTTCACTGCAGTTTCTTTGTTTTCTTTTGAAAGCTTTTATTTCTCCTGGAAAAGTTGTGTGGTGCCAAGTGATTCCTCCGAAATACAGAACATCTTTTTGATCTTTACTGGAAAGCTTTGTTACCCTGTCGAGCCTCTGCCTTTTATTAGGGCCATTTGACACCAAAAGAGTAAATAGACGTTTGTGCCATGAAAATGTTCATAGATTGTCATGATGTTATTGTGTTAATAAAGCTGTGAAGCTGAACCTTTACTTCTTTCCTGTTACAATTTTGAAAACTTTGATTTAAAATTGGTCTTGAATAATGTCTCTGGTTTTGCATATTAACAAGACTTTTTTTCCCCCTCCCCCCAGATCCAGAAGAATTTTTGAATATTTTATTTCACCATATTCTAAGAGTTGAGCCACTACTGAAAATAAGGTGAATCTTTTTTCTTTGTTGAATGTATCTATTTGTAGAGGCTGATGAGGAGTGTCTGCTGCCTTTCAAATTGAGATGACTCTTAGCGCACCTTTAACTTGTGATTCATATTTCTATTAAGTTCCCATATAGTCAAGTTACATTGCCAAGTTTGACACTATTTCCTACCTTTTTTGGTTGGTGTATTTCACCCCACTGGTCTTTTGTTGCAAAAGCTTGTGAACATAGTTTCTCGAGACCTGCACAAAGACCCGCTGTGCTCGTGCTGTCTCCTCCAGAGCGTTACCAGTTTCCCGTTAGTTGGCTGGATGGAGAAGGGCTGCTCTAAGAGGGCCCGGCCTGACCGCTGAACGTGCCCTGCAGCTTACGGCCACTTGTTTCTGGGAGAAGCTGCAGAGATTGCTGAATCAGTGTTAAGCTGTGGAAGCTGATTTGCATTTCTTCTTGAAGGCTAGTGAAAATACTTCAGTGGTTTGCCTTTCTTAAATCAGTCCACACAATACTTGATTGCCTTTCATCTAAGACACTTTGTTGCTGTGGGGTGTATTTGGTTTTTGTGGGTTTGGTTTGGGGTTTTTTTTAAGGACAATATATTTCAATGCAGAAAGAGAATGTTGTGTAGACTCTTTTCTGGTATGTGTTATTTTCCTAATAAAATACAATCAACCGTTACAGTAGAGCTTCAGAGTCAGGGGTTTTTTTAATCTGTTTTTAGATCAGCAGGTCAGAAAGTACAAGACTGTTACTTCTATCAGATTTTTATGGACAAAAATGAGAAAGTTGGAGTCCCAACAATTCAGCAGTTACTCGAGTGGTCATTCATCAACAGCAACTTGAAGTTTGCAGAGGTTGGTGACAGCTATTGCTTTGTTAAAATAATGATACCTAGAAATGGGACAAAAGTAGGATTCGGTGTGAAAACAAAATGCAGACATGTTGGAAAGCGGAGTGCTAGGTCAGTGATACATGTTGCTTGCATTTCAAAAATGTAGACACGTATCCTTTGGCTGAACAGACCAAAGTAATTTAGGTAAAGAATTACTAAAAGAAAACTTCTTAGTTACTGCCAGTAAATTGTTTTAAGGACTAATATTTTGAAATATCTTTGTTTTTAAAAAGCCTTTTACAAAGGGAAGATTTTTCTTCTTATCTCTCGCCCCCAAGATGGGGGAATGTAGCCCAGTCTATTTAATATCGTACTTGATCATGAGTGGGACTTACAGCATTTGATGATGATTTAGATGCTGCTTTCTTGTTGGTTTTTTTTTTTTCAGTTGTAGTTTCACTCAAAAACTTAATTTTATTTTGCTTTTTGAAGTCAGTGGGCTGCAAGTTTAAAAAACATGAATACACTTACAGCATTAGAAGTGTGTGTCTAAATTTAGGTAATTATCTGTCTCAAGCTCATCACATTATATTCTGGCATTTTACCTAGGCACCCTCTTGCCTGATTATCCAAATGCCTCGGTTTGGAAAAGACTTCAAAATGTTCAATAAAATTTTTCCATCCTTGGAATTAAATATAACAGACTTACTTGAAGACAGTAAGTATATGACATTGTGTTATGTAATGAAAGAGAGTTGTTCAGAGTGACTTACAGAGTGAAAGTATATATTCCTGGTACTTCTGGTGTTTGTGGCTTCGCTTTTTTTTATTAAATTTTTAACAAGGTGGTGTGAGATGCTTAGACTGAGGAGAAAGGAAAGTTTACTGACTAGAATACTTGTTTTTTCTCATGTCAAAAGCTGTAATTCAGAAGAATGTATAGAATATAACTTGATTGTTCATTTAGTCCTTCAGTATCTGTACAACTAAACTTTGTATTTCAAGACGGTGTTCTTAAAATTGATTAGCAGCAAAACAATTTATTAATATGGCAGGCAGGAAATCTTAAAAGCTCAGTGTAGCACGGAGATTGATTAACAGGTATTTACAATGTTAACTACATTTCTTTAGTGTTCATTGGTGTGTGCTTCTTGTTTCTAAACTTTTTGTCATTAGTTTAATCAAAGTAGAAGGAGGGAACCTGAGGTCAGAGTGTAAAACTGCAGCATGCAGTTACAGTACATTTTTCACCTATAAATCTAAGCACTCTTCTTGTGACATTTGTCATCCACTGAATTTTTCCTTGCGTTACCTAAGGAAAAGCACTCTGTTTTAAATTTCACATAAGAATTTATGAAACTGCTAAAATTTACTAGAAGAATAATCTCTGAAACTGTCATGGCCTTTTCTTTCAGTCTTGGCCACCAGCTTCTGCCGTTTATTGGTTGTTTTGTTTTTTCTGGTGTTGAAAGACATGAGGGAGAACTAACTTGCTTTAAAAATCTGTTTTTACTTGTTTATACAGTTGATAGAACTTAATTTTGATTATCTCATGTTTTGCAACTTACCCCTCTAAGTGTTTTTGTTCTCTTATTCTGCATTATGGCAAAGGGAAGAAATTAAATACAGTGGTACATTTCTGCTTTGACTGGCAATCTGGTTTTAGCTAGTTTCATGTAGTGTTTGTCTCCGTTTGAAGCAGTAATCCTCCCTCCTTTCCATAGACCCTTGTCTTAAAAAGCAAAAGAAAGCCTTCCCCAACTGGAGACTAACGTCTTTGTTAAAAACGCAGCTCCCAGGCAGTGCCGTATATGTGGAGGACTCGCTATGTATGAGTGCAGAGAGTGTTATGAAGATACTGATATTTCTGCTGGGAAAATCAAGCAGTTCTGCAAAACATGCAATACGCAGGTAAGTTGTTGGCTTTGTTGTTCTACAGGGATTTAACCCCAGAGGCGTATGCTGTGATAATCAAAAGGAAGGCGTGAGGGCGTAGTGAGGCCTTCTCAGCAGCCCCGGTGTAACCGTGCCCACCGAGTAAAGCGGAGCCGCTGGTGGCAAAAAGGGAACGGCGCTTGACCCTGCACTGTGTTAACGCATCAGTAGTTTCTTACTAAAAACATGGCAACTGCCAAATCCAGGACTGCATGCAATGGAGAAGTAGCAATCGTAGGCAGCTTGGAGTCTGTTTCCTGTCTCCTGCTTTAAATCCTAATTTTACATATATTCTGCCTTTCTTGAATTGATAAATTCGTGACATAGAACGGCTTAATTTTGAAAGTTACTTGGTAACTTGCATGAAGCTGTCAGGCATGGCTTGTTTACAAGTCTAAGCATAGTAGCAAATTGTTACATCTGAGCTCCCTTCTAACTTTAGATTTGAATTTCTGGGCAATATTGAACTACACTCTTGGGGAAAAACAGAAGAAACGTTTAGTCTGCTACTGTTACTGCAGTTTCTTCTGTAATGCCATTGGTCTTCAGTAGCGCAGTAATGTTCTTTTTAGCTTTGCCACTGAAACAAATAAGATTATGGGGTATGTTTTCTCTTCTGAAATATCACTTCAATTGCAGGTTCATCTTCATCCCAAGAGACAGAATCATAAATTCAATCCGTTGTCACTACCCAAAGATCTGCCAGACTGGGATTGGCGACATGGCTGCATCCCGTACCAGAAGATGGAATTGTTTGCTGTTCTCTGCATAGAAACCAGCCACTACGTAGCTTTCGTTAAATATGGGAGAGATGACTCCGCCTGGGTTTTCTTTGACAGCATGGCAGATCGGGATGGTAGATCTTTTATTTATCCTTACTAATACTCTCTCAAATTTTTTATGTGTATTACTATTTTAAATTTCAGTGTCTTATTTGGAGGATATTAATATTGTTTCATTTGATGTACTTGATGCTGGTACACTAATCTTGACCCAGTACATCTGTGCCTTTCCTTTGAAGCTCTTTAGAGTCATAGAATGGCCTAGGCTGGAAGGGACCTTATAGATCATTTTAATCCAGCCTCCCTGCTGCCAGGGACGCCACCTCTCGACTAGATCAGACAACGCATGGGGACCGAATGGGAATCGAACCCGCGACCTTAGCGTTGTTAGCGCCACGCTCAACTGAGCTAACCGGCCCCCTGTTTAGTTATTGGACAAAAACTTACCCTGTAATAGTACAGGTAAAACAAGTGTTCTCATAGATACTGCTGCATTAAATAGTGTTTAAATAAGGACACAGTTCAGTTCTGGTGCCTGAGAAAACAAGAATAAATGCAAGTGTCAAACTCATAGTAACAGTTCTCTGCATGAAGAATTATTGGACCCCTCTGTTAGCGTGTGATTTAGCAGGAAGAGAAGAATCTTGCCTCCTGTTGAACATGAAACTGCTGCAGTACTAAAGTATCTTTCTTCTAACAACCAGAAGGCGATCAAGATTTGTTTCAGGGTGCTTGAAATGTGTACAACTGAAGTCTGTAAAAACCACTTTATTTCAGGAATGTAAATCACGAGATACTCACTGGGTGTATCTCCTGCTGACATTAGGGGGTTTTGTGTCACAACTATTTCTCTTCAGCTGGTGCTACGAGATAAAAATCTTTGCTGAGGAATAGTGTCCTGAATATCCATACTCATTAGAATTTGCTCATTTTTACATGGAAAATGGTCTAGGGCAAACTCTACCTTAGTCTTGCAAGTGAGTTGCCAGCTGCCATGCTAATAGCAAATTCAGTAGCATTTGAGTTAGAGTACGTATTCAGGTCACTCTCCCAAAGTCATACAGAAGTTTTTAGTGTTAATGAAAAACAAAAATTCTTGTGCTGGTGAGGTGTTTGTGGGTATGTTTGTTTGATGGTAAACACTACAAGATACTCTGACACTACTTGCAGTTTTTCTTCAACAATACACTTTCCATGTAAGTTCACCCTGCAGTAATCCAGAGTGGCAAATTAGGGGTGTTGTGTTGTTCTTTTTTTGCTGTGAGGTTTTTTGTTGTTTGGTCTTTGTGTTTTTTTTTTTTATTAGAAGGCATTTTCAAGAACTGGTGATGTTGGCATAATTAAAGTACAAAATAAAGTGAAGAGAGCAAATGTTATGTAGATCTATCCTAATCTATTTTTCTTTCTTTCCTTATGGTTAAAAGGAGGTCAGAATGGCTTTAACATTCCACAAGTTACCCCATGTCCAGAAGTTGCTGAATACCTGAAGATGTCTCTAGAAGAATTGCACTCACTGGATTCCAGAAAAATTCAAGGTTGTGCACGAAGACTACTTTGTGATGCTTACATGTGCATGTATCAAAGTCCAACAATGAGTTTATACAAATGAACAATGGCCTCTGGAAATCTGGAGAAGCAGTGTAGAGTTATTGACTGTTGCATTTGCTGCATTTTTTTGGCTAATTTTAATGCAACCGTTGCTGGCAATGGATGCGATGACAAAAAAATCGACTATGAGAGCAAAAGGATTATCGTTCCAAAAACTACCTGTGGAGTTCTGTAACTGAAGTATTTAAGCATTTTGCACTCTAGGAAGTGTGCTTGTGTGTGTTTGTTTTATAAACAAAGTCTAAGTGAAGTTACTAAAACTAAACCTTGAAGTGCATTGATTTTTACACAGGCTTTTTTGAAATGTTAAAGGAGGAATTATATCTGGAGAAGTCTCCTTAGTCCACTGAGAATGTAAAGATGCACATTGTTCTTGCTCAGCGCGTTTCTGTGGACCAAGGATGATGATTCTCTTGTGTTTCTCTACCTTTCGCCCCCACCCTTGATCTTTTTCCACTATAGATTCTCTTTCTTGAAGAGAGAATAACTTCAGTATTAGTAAGATAAATTTTAGACTGTTCATAGTATATTCAGTATGTTCTGTTATCTGTCTACTACAGATTCTTTTCAGTTCACACATTTGCGTCTTCAAAAATTAATGTTCATTTAAAGATCTGAATTCTTATCTTGTGAAAATCAAACACACAGATTTGCTATCTGTTAATTTGCAATTTTTGGAGGGGAAAAGAGGAGGATAAGAGGGTATTAAGGGGAAGCATAATTGCTGAAATATAAAATTAGCAATGAAAATTAACAGATGTTGTTTTTGAAGTGTCTATTTTTAAAGAAACAAAGCAGTCTGGAACAGAACAGCAACTATATACAAATGATGTGAGGACAAAACAATAAAATAGCGGATTGCCTCAGGGAATGTTACTGAAGTGGATTCTAGTCCTTGGTAGAACAAACCTGACTTTTCTACAGTACGTTAAGCTACTACCTGGGAATATGTTACACATCTAACTCTTCGTTTCAGGATTACTAAGGAATATTAAAAATCTCCACCTGGAAAGACAACTTTATAAATAGAAGTAGGTCAGAGTTTTACCGTATACCAAGTACTTAATGAAAAACTTGAAAAGCTACGCAACCTGTGTTGATGTAAAATATTATACTTTGAAGTCTAATGGTTCCTGTTTGCAATGAAATACTGTTGTTTTAGTTGCTTTTTAGCTACTTCTGTCTATACCAACTAGCAAACATGCAACTATATATATATATATATATACACACAGTAAAATCTGGTTGTACAAATTGCATATATATGAGCTTTACATTTTCAACTCTTAAGATGTTTTATATGGAAAACTTTCTTTTGGGATCAAGTCAATAGAAGGAGCCGTAACAAAATACAACAGATGAAAAGCCACTTTGAAAAAGCCACTGTTTTAAAGACAACAGAGACTGATCCCCTATTGTAGAAACTGTGGTTACTTTGTTCTTGGAAAACCCAAAGATCTTTCTTTGGGGCACACTACCACAGAGCTGTACTAAAGAGAGTTTTGAACACTGTGCTTGAAGGACAGATCTGTCTAAAGCAAGAGGTGCTGAGGGAGTTGAGCTGTTCCATTGGCCGCTGCATGAAGTGTCCCCTAGTTTTGCACTCTCAAGAGCAAGGAAGGTATTAAAAGTGTCACTGTTGCTATTGCCTCTAACAGTCTCCTGGCTCCCACAGTCCCTTGTCTTAATCTAGTCTGTACTCCTTCTTAACAAAGCTCTCTTTAGTTTCAGTACTGCTACCTGCTCTTGAACTCTTTCTCTCCTGAAGAAATTGCAGTGAGGCTTTAGGTGATGGGTTCTATAACCATCTGTCAAGGGATGGGTTATTGTCCCTTGGCTACATACCATCGTGCTCTGGGACAGCACCTGCAGTGGCTCAGATGTGTCCACAAAGATGCCACAGAAGCATCTCACAGGTAACATAAGCTAAAAAGAGTAGCTATAGGTCTTGGCTTGGCAGCTTGAATTTATTACAATGGACTAGGCAGCACTGAGCTGTCTGAGCAGAAGGTATGCTAACCCACCCTTGGCTGCATATTGAAGAGGAAGGCTGGCCTCTGGAATTGGAAGCCTCCAGGTACCTCAACTGAAGATTTTAAAAGGAGTTGTTTGCAAAGCAAAGGCAAGAGGGGGCGTCCAAAAAGAAAAAAACAACAAAAATTCCCCAGTAATAATTCAACAGCCTCTCAGCTCTCTCTACAACATTTGATGCCCTCACTCCCCTAGCCCCACCACAACTCAGCAACTCAGCCTGAGAGTGGTTGCAAATGGTGTCTCCTTCTAAATAAGGAGCAAACGTACAGGCTTTACAAAATGAAGCACAATCCCATGTGGAATGAGACCAATTTGAATGTCTGGGTTCTTCCTCTTCCCCCTCCCTAGATGTATTTTCTCGTGTTCCAATGTGTTAAATTTTATCTGTTCTTACATTTGTGTTACCTTTCTCCCTTCCCTCCCTCCCACTTTATTACATACTATCTAAAGTTACAGTGACCTTACCTCTTCCTGGCTGAACTCGGAGGACAACTCTGGCCAGAGAGTACCCTTGGCCTTGCAATCATATTTAAGTTTCCTGCATGAGGGAACTTGCGTGAAAATAGCCACTTTTTTTTTTTCCTCCTGAACTTCAAATATCCAAGAACCCCGTTTGTTTTTTTTTCAGGATGCATATTCTATTAGAAGAAGCAAATTAGATAGCTGAGTGTAAATTAACTACTTGGCTTCTTGCCTCTATCTTCTGGCCTTCAAACTGGAAATGGAAAAGAAGTGTGAACGCCTGCTGTGGTACACATAGAGAATATTCAGCAAAAACTGGGAGTTTAAATGCATTATTGTGCACTTGGGGACAAATACCGTGTTTTGACACTTGGGCTGTACGTTACAGCCTGGATTTTGTACTACTTGATATAATTGCAAAACTACATCATTTTGCAAACAGTGTATGATTACATGGTTAGTTTATTGCTTATCAGATAAGAGGGCAGAGATGTCTTCTATAGCATTAAGTGTATTGAGTCTGTTAATTAACAAAGTATTGCTTTATGATGTACTGCATTGAACTGGACATAATCTGGCAAAGTAAATGAAGCATTATGGAAACTAACCCTAAACTTTATTTCCTTTCTCAGGAGTATACAGACCAAAAAGTGATTTCACTGTGAAAGGAAAGTTGTAAAATATGTACAAGAGTAAGAAACTGGTCTTAGCCTTCAGCATATATTGTTGGGGAATTGAATAAGCTGTTTTGAAGAAACAGCTCATGTTTTAAAGCATCTACTGTTGTTAACTATAATGCCCAAAGATTCCAGTGACTAAGCACCAAACCTCGATTTGTTTAATTCATTTGGGAAGTTCCCAAAGTGCTGTCTTTTTTAATTATTATTATTTTTTATTTTTTAATATGGTGAATGTGTCCATATATTAATAGCACTTAGATGATTGCATCATGGTTTGGTTCTTAAGTATTGCTAACAATGGCCTTATCCTGTGAGTGGGAAAACACATAAAAACCAGGGTTCCTGAGAGTCTGTAAAAACATGAAACTTTGCTAATTGGGGAGAAAAACTGCACCCTTATATGACACTCAGCCCCTACTTTGTTCTATTTTGAACATAGAGGGTAAAAAAAAGATACTAGTTAAAGGTGATGCCTTACACATTGCTAAAACAAACAAACAAAAACCCCCCAACCCCAAACAGCAAACAAACCCCAGATCTCCAGTAAACTACACTGGAACACCTGTCTTTTGCTGTGGGAGATAACTGGAGGGAAAAATACAAAAAGTCGTGTGTTTAGTAAAGATCTTTCTCATGTCTGGGATACAGAGCCTGTGCTCTTGGAGCGGTAGTACTGTGTTTCACTAAATGGCCTGTGAGAGTTCCATTTTAAGCAAGAACTTTTTATGTGTAACAGGAATTGCTCATAAATTATTCATTTCAATGCACTTATTTTACTTGTGCACTTTGTACTCCACCGAAGAGATGAACTCTGTCACCACACTCCCTAGCGATAGCCCGTTTAATACAATATGAAGGTACAACATGCTGCAGATCAGAATTTTATGGTTTCAGAGCTGAGCTGGTGTAAAAAAGCAGCTTGAAAGCGTTGTGTATTTTTTACTACTGTAACAAAGCATGTTTTCCTCTGTTCTTGATGTTTTGCTAAATAAACATCCCATGGTTTGTGCACAAATAGTCTCTTAAATTTACAAATGTTGTCTCCAAGAGTGAGTTAGGGAAACAAGCCATTTTATCAGGTTGCCCTCAACTAGCCTTAATTTCCAACACCCCCTCCCCCCTCAGTTGACCAGAATTAGCTGCTGCTGGAAAGGAATGTACCATGTGCTCTTTCTGTGTTAATATTAATTAAAAATATTATCCCTACGGCTCTATTTATTTCTTGTGGGGGATGTGGAAATTTGAGAATGTTAGGAACAATAATAACGGCAGTGCTGAACTAGCTTGTTCTGTACACTTGCACAAGGATTTTTATTTTTTTTTTTTTGGTAGTCTTTCAGCATTTCTAGGAGACTTGGGAATTGCTATATTGTATCATGTCTATTACCCGTGTCTTGCCAATTAATACTTTATATTATAATGAAAAAAAACAGTGAAAAGCTGCTGTAGCTAACTATTTTGTGAAAAATTTATTTTTCAGTGCTTAATACTCTGCCTTACTGATCCTAGATGAGCAGCTCCTCCCGGGATGCAGCTGCAGCTTCAGTGCTGCTTCCATCGCTCCCATTAAGAAGTGCTGCACACCAAGTTCACGTGCGTTCTCTAGCTAAAACCATACTACCCAGTATTTCTAGGTTAATTTTTTTTTAATTTCCTGAGTATTGTTATAATAATTATTAATAATGATGAAGAAAAACTCCTACCTGGGGCTGTAAAAGGAATGCTGTCAATTTAAATATTCTAAAAATCTTACTGCAAATACTTAACCGCTTGTAAAAATTTTTTTGGGGAAATGTATTACTTCTGAAGTGTAAAGGGTTAGTTT